CAGGTATCTGGGGTTTATTTACCTTCTATAATTGAAACTTTGTTGCCTGAGTGGAGCTCAGAGCCGGCCAGGGCAGGTGGGAGGGAAAGCCTCCTGCACTCCAGCTCTGTGGCCACGGCCGGCTGAAAGCAGGTATCTGGGGTTTGTTTAGCTTCTATAATTGAAACTTTGTTGCTTTGAGTGTAGCTTAGAGCCAGCCGCGGCAGGCAGGGAACCTTGGCTTCCTCCATCACTGGAGCAAGCAAGCCTCCTATTCGTTCCAGCTGCATGGCTGCCGGTCGCCATCTTTGTTGGCAGTTAATTTGCATATCTTGCTAATTAGCCAATGGGAGGCATAGCGAAGGTATGGTCAATTACCATGTTTGTCTATTATTAGGTAAGATGGGCAAATTGGTCTATATAATAAGCAGGCTATTAAAATTTTAACTTTTCTGCCATTTTTACATGAATGTTTCAAACATTATTCCCTGTACATATTCAATGGGGGGAGGGGGGGTAGTAAGAATGATGAAACAAGTTTGAGAAATATAGCCCACATCCTCAAAAGCCTTGACCCATGTTTGCATACGATCCAATCTGGCAGATGTACCAACCTTCTGAGTCAGAGGTAAAAGACCCATAATTGGTTGTGTCAAGTCTCCTAATTGTCTCTTAAATTGCAGTTCACATAGCAATGGACACGAACTTGAATATCTGTGTCTGATGGCACAAGGTTTAGGTTATACATGGATGTAGCAAAATGTTACCCGATCCAACTTCTCAATTTTTTTCCAGACCAAGTGTTTAGTGGGTTGGGGCCTATTTGTAACAGAGGAATTCAGGCTGGGCAGCCATGTTTGAGCACATGGTATTTGAACAGTGTACTTACCCCAGGTCACATTCACTGCCTGGTCTCAGGGACAAGGTCAAAGGCAGAACTCCTCAATGGTCTGCCAAACATGTCTCAGCACATTGTGCTCAAAGTGGTCTTGTTCATCTTCAGGATGGAGTTCTTGACATTGTCAGTCACTCCTTCACCTGCACAGATTTATCTGGCTGCCACTTTCACACTTGAGCCTATTTTCTAGAAGAAAAATACAAGTTTTCAATCTGCAATTTCATTACACCATATTCCAGATGTTTCAGGGAGACTGGATGAAAACACAAGTATATAGATCAGTAATGGGTGCAGTAATGGGTGCTTTCAAGTGCTTCAGAATGGCACCAAGCATAAACCATTCAACTTTTGCACTGCTAACTCCACCTCAACTAAGTGACCTCTGGTTTTCTAAACCACCTGTGACCCCTGGACAAGAGTCCCACAAACGCTCTCTGGTTTGCAGTCAGGATGGAGCCGACCTGGAACCTGGGTGCTGCCAGCCCAGCAACTGAGAGAGAGGTGGGCCCAGTTTGAAGCCCTGAGAAGGGTCAGGCTGGGTGGTCAGCCCGTGTAAGACTTTCTAACACGAGCTTAGGAAAAGGCAGTCGCCTACACACAGGTAAATCCATAGGCACAGCACCTGACAAGTAGACAACCGAGTGTTGTCTCCAGGAGGAAGCCTAACAGCCAGTGCCACCTCCCACATTGATTTCTTCCTCTGCCACGAGATGACCGTCCATGTTCTCCATGTGGCTGCTCCACCAGCCTAGATCCCAGAGTGAAGGTGACAAAAAGACACACTACAGATGCATAAGCAAGAAACACACGTGTTATTCTATATCACGGAGCATTGGGAGCTGTTTGTCATGGCAACATAACCTAGTAGATACACCGTAACCTGACTGAAACACCAGCCCTTTATAGGAAAGATTTTGGGACATTAAGCACTATGGTAAATGTAACTGTAGAAGAAATCTGGACTGTATCTATTACACAGTAATATATATATATATATATAGAGAGAGAGAGAGAGAGAGAGAGAGAGAGAGAGAGAGAGAGAGAGAGAGAGAGAGAGAGAGAGAGAGAGAGAGAGAGAGAGAGAGAGAGAGAGAGAGAGAGAGAGAGAGAGAGAGAGAGAGAGAGAGAGAGAGAGAGAGAGAGAGAGAGAGAGAGAGAGAGAGAGAGAGAGAGAGAGAGAGAGAGAGAGAGAGAGAGAGAGAGAGAGAGAGAGAGAGAGAGAGAGAGAGAGAGAGAGAGAGAGAGAGAGAGAGAGAGAGAGAGAGAGAGAGAGAGAGAGAGAGAGAGAGAGAGAGAGAGAGAGAGAGAGAGAGAGAGAGAGAGAGAGAGAGAGAGAGAGAGAGAGAGAGAGAGAGAGAGAGAGAGAGAGAGGGAGACTTCTTTCCCACCCTCTACACACACACACACACACACACACACACACAGAAACCTCCTCAAATCAATGAGATATTCTGAATACTTAAAAATCAGCGCTCAAAAATCTCAAAGAAACACAGTTGCTCCATCAAAAAAGGACTTGACCCATTTGCCAAAATCATTTGCCGAGTTCCACTTCTTTTCTAAAACCAAGTACATTAATCAAATGCAGAGCTTCAAACGGGCTTCATTCTGAGTGATCCAACAGACAAATAAATTAGCTGCCAGTGGCTCCTTTGTAATTGACGGGAACCAGGCTGACCCAAGGGGATGGGGCTAAATCAAAAAGGGGACCCTCCAAGTAAAAGCAGCATTTGGGGGCCTGAAGCAAATCAATAAAGCCGTCCCACACACTCATTTCCAAGAGTCAGGGTGAGCCAAGCACATGTGTGTTTATTCACTAATAAGAAGATGCAAATGCCCCACATCTGATGGATTTCTTATGAGCTACGACCATAAAAATGCTTGTGTCTGGAGTACACATTTGTTTGCGCGTTGTGCTCAACAGTGGCAACTTATAAACCTGAACGCACTTCTTACACTTATGATCTACCTTTCCCTTTGAAACAATGTAACTAACTCTGGAAGGGTTTTGGTGTTTTGTTTTTTTTTTCTCTTTATTGCAGGGAGGAATTGCTTAAGATTTCTCATTTAAGTATGTGAAGAACTGTCCATTTTTAATTTACAGAGCTTTTAAGTGGTGACTCAGAGAGGGATGATGTCATATGTTATCCTAGAACGGCTGGTGTGGTTCTCTCTGCTCACTCACACCATTCCCCTGTTTTCTGTGGCCACAGTACTCCCCAGTTTCCACCCTTTCATCAGCCTCTTCCCAGCCAGCCACAGGCAAACAGCCTCCCCAGCAGAGGACGAACAGGAAGTCTGACAGCTTGAGTCTGCAGTGGGACCCCTAGTGCTTTCCCACTCCAGGTCCTGGCAGCGTTCCCCACAAGTACAAACACACGCACACAGAGCTCCCATTGTTGCAGCCTTCCCCAGCCCACGGATCCTAATATGGAATGCAGCAGGAAACCCATGATTTCCTGACACTCGGCAGGCTGGAGGAAGCAAGGGGGAAACTCCATTAAAAAGCCCAGCTCTCCTCCATGTTAGCTGTGAAGTGGGAAATGGGGAAGATTCAGCAAAATCCCGGGTCTGCAGCCAGGCTGGAGACGGGGAGAGCAGAGTGAAACCCGCGGGCTGTTGAAATTTCCCGACTGCCAGGAAGCCCCTAGTCCTCAGTGAAAATGAGTGTTTCTGGACTCAAAGTGCTAGGGAAACGGGACAGACCCCTTTCCTGATTCTCCCGAGTGTGTGTCACCTTCCTTTACCAGCATGGTAAGCCAGAGGGCATGTGCCAGCTGCCTGCGACAAGTCTGTAGGATCCCAGGTACCCAAAGTAAAGCAAAGTGATCTCAAGCCTGGTGCTTCATGGGCTGCGGGAGAAGCGGGAGAAGCCACAGCGGCGGCTCCGGGGCAGCAGCTGGAGCCGCGAGAATGAACTGCAAGGAGAGTGACAGCAGCTGCGGCTGCGGGGGCAGCGAGGAGAAGAAGATGCTGAAATGCGTGGTGGTGGGGGACGGGGCGGTGGGGAAAACCTGCCTGCTGATGAGCTACGCCAACGACGCCTTCCCGGAGGAGTACGTGCCCACCGTGTTCGACCACTATGCAGGTAAGAGACGGCGGGAGACCGGTCCCTGCCTGCGGGGTGAGTGATGCGGGAGGCGGCACCCAGACTTCCCAGGGGCCTGGCCGGTTTCTCATGTCAGTATTGGGTGCGGGCCTGGCAAGACCCAGGTACCTTAGCATAACATACAACTTTGCTGGAATTATTAGGAGAACAATTGGTACATCGATTTGTATTGTAACCCGCCCCCCCCCCCCCCCCCCCCCCCCCCCTCA